TATCCCAGAGAAATAAAGATTTATGTTCACACACAAAAATAACTGTTCAAATGTTTATAGTAGCTAAATTCATAATACAGTAGTTCCCCCTTATCCACGGTTTCACTTTCTGTGGTTTCAGTTACCCCTGGTCAACTGCAGTCCAAAAATATTAAATGGAAAATTCCAGAAATAAACAATTCGTAAGTTTTAAAGGTCCCTCCGTTCTGAGCAGGGTGATGAAATCTCACGCTGCCCCGCTCTGTGCTGCCAGGAACGTGGGTCATCCCTTTGTGCGGCACCTCCACGCTCTGTCCCCTGCCCACCCGCTAGTTACTCAGTGGCCGTCTGCGTCAGCGGGTTGGCTGTCTCGGTATCACAGTGCTTGTGTTCAAGGCACCCTTATTTTACCTAATAATGGCCTCGAAGCGCAAGAGCAGTGATAGAGACTGGCGATTTAGACGTGCCAACAAGAAACTGTACAGTGTTTCCCTTCAGTGAAAAGGTGAGCACACTATTAAGATATTTGGAGACCACATTCACATAACTTTTATTACATTATCTTGTTATAGTTGTTCTTTTTTATTACTAGTTATTGTTGTTTCTTGCTGGGCTTCATTTATAAATTGAACTTATTATAGGTATGTATGTATAGGAGAAAACACAGCACAATTTACCCTTGAACAACATGGGGGTTAGGGGTGCCAACACCCCTTGTGGTTGAAAAATTCACATATAGCCCTGGCTGGTGTGGCTCAGCGGATTAAGCACTGGGCTACAAACAGAAGGGTCACTGGTTCAATTCCCAGTCGGGGCATGTGCCTGGGTGGCAGGCGAGGTCTCCACTTCGGGGGGGGCGGTTAGGGTTAGGGTTAGGGCGAGGTCTCCACTTGGGGCGGCAGTGAGAAGCAACCAATCGATGTATCTCTCACACATTGATGTTTCTCTCCCTCTCTTTCTCCTTCCCTTCCCCTCTCTCTAAAAATAGCCCTTAAAATAGTACATGAATAGCCCTTGCTGGTGTGGCTCAGTGTGTAGCTCAGTGGAATGAGCACTGGACTGTGAACCAAAGAGTCACAGGTTCAGTTCCCAGTCAGGGCACATACCTGGGTTGCAGGCCAGGTCCCCAGTAGGAGGTGCATGAGAGGCAACCACACACTGACGTTTTTCTCCCTTTCTTTCTCCCTCCCTTCCCCTCTCTCTAAACGTAAATAAATAAAAAATCTTTAAAAAATAAATAAAAGAACATAAATAAAATCTTTCAAAATAAATAACAAAATTGAGAATTTTAAAAAAGAAAAATCCACATATAACTTTTGGATCCCCTAAAACTTAGCTACTAATAGCCCAGTGCTGACAGGTAGCCTTACCAATAACATAAGCAGTTGATTAACACATATTTTGTATATTGTATGTATTATAGGATGTATTCTTACAATAAACTAGAGGGAAGAAAACATTTTTTAAAAATTATAAGAGAAAATACATGTACTCTACTGCACACATTTATTGGAAAAAATCTGTAAGTGGACCTGTGCCATGCAAAGCCATGCTGTTCAAGGGTCAGCTGCATGTATGGGGTTCAGTGCTGTTCAAGGTTTTGGCATCCCCTGGGGGTCCTGAAATATATTCCCCGCAGATAAGGGGGGACTACTGTAGCCAGCATCTGGAAACAACCCTGTAGTAGACAGGATAATGGCCCCCCAAAGACATCCACGTTCTAATCCCTGGATCCTGTGAACATATTGCTTCACATGGCAAAAGGAATGTGATGAAATAAAACATCTCGAGGGGCGAGGTTGACCTGGATGACGTGCACAAAAGCGGCCCCAGTGCTTTGCAGCTCCCCCCATCAAGCGATGGAGTCGGGCGGTGGGACAAGCAGCCTTGTCACTTGGGGTATGTGACCTAACAAACCCTATGGTGCTCGAGTTTGCTGTGGGGAACGAAAATGCTGTCAGGTGTCTCTGCTATGTCCTGTTCAGAGAGTCACATTACAGTCGCCTATAGTTCTGGAGCAAGACCATGCTGTCTGCAGTGAAGAAACTGTGCCTTCTTTGGAAAGCAAGTCCTGACACACTACTGAACTAAATGCCAGACCGTGGGAACTCGAGTGGCTAAGAGATCAGGGCCTCCGATCATAAGGTGGATATTGAACCATGCGTCTATTCTGTGACCCACCAGTTCCTCTCCGAGGTCTATTCCTAAAGACGTGGGAGCAGATAGACACCCAAAGTCTTGTGCTGAAATGTTTGTTAGCCCCAAACTGGAAACAACCCACTGTCTGACAGGAGCAAAAACAAACTGTGGAAAAGTTCGTGCAATGATTATTATTCAACAATTAAAAGGAATGAACTAATGGTACATAACCACATGGGTGAATCTCAAAAACAGCCCTGGCTACTGTGGCTCAGTGGATTGAGTGCTGGCAGGCAAACCAGAAGGTCGCCAGTTCGATTCCCAGTCAGGGAACACATCTGGGTTGCTGGCCAGGTCCCCCTGTATTGGAGGCATGCCAGTTTGGGGCTTGCAAGAGGAAACTGGTCAATGTATCTCTTGCATAGATGTTTCTCTCCCTTCTCCTCTCTCTAAAAAGACATAAATAAAATCTTTAAAAAAAAAACAGTATGTGGAAGGTAAGCCAGACACAAAAGAGCAATTACTGTATAATTGCATTAATATGTGATTCAATTACATGCAATCTGATAGTGATCAGACCAGTGTGTGTCTCTGGGAGGGGATGGTTAAATAGGGACACAAGGGAATGTCCTGGATTGATGGAAATAGTATCTATTATAATTTGTGTGACATTAACGTGGAGGATACATTTGTTAAAACTCGTAAAATTATGCATTACAATGCGCATGTTCTACTAAATATAAATTACACCTTGATAAAGAAAATAATATAAAAATTCACTAAGAGATAATAGTCGTTCATTGACACTAAGCTTTTAACCTTCAATTTTTACAAAGTGAACACAGAAGAAAGCAATGGCATATAGTGAAGTAGAAATAAAAGGAATTTAGTCTTAATAATAAATGACTTTAAATGCTTATATTCAAAGCCACCCAGAAATAAACCCCAGAGAATACCAATTCAATCAGTCAGGATGAGGTTTTTCTAGGAATAACTGAGACTGATGATGACAGGGTCTTAATTAAAAGAGGTCGTAGCCCTGGCTGGCGTAGCTCAATGGATTGAGCGTGGGCTGCGAACCAGTGTCCCAGGTTTGATTCCCAGCCAGGGTACATGCCTGGGTTGCAGGCCATGACCCCCAGCAACCGCACATTGATGTTTCTCTCTCTCTATCTCTCTCTATCTCCCTCCCTTCCCTCTCTAAAAATAAAATAAAATCTTTAAAAATATAAAATAAAATAAAAGAGGTCATTTCTCTCTTGCATCAAGAGCTGTAATGGCAGCCCTACCAATTCCGGGGAGCCAACTTTCTCCTAAATTCCTGTCCCTTGCCCTAAGCGTGTCCCTCATATCCCAAGATGGCTGCTCAAGCTCCATCACCAAGTGCACATTCCAGCCAGGAGAGAAGAAAGTGATGAAGAAGGGCTTTTCCTCCCTCTAAGGATATTTCCCAAAATCCATACCCAACATTTGTTTGTGTTTCATTAGCCAGGACTTTAGTGCCACATGTAGATACATGGGAGGCTCGGAACAGCAGTCGTGACCCTGGGCGACACAAGCACCGATGGGGGAGGAAGGGTGCCAGGGGAGCCGGTCAGCAATCTCTGCCCCACCCACTTCTTCATCCACCTAAACATTCACATGCATCTTCCTCTCGTATGCAAAACTCACAGCATCCCCTGAAAGAAGGTGACCTCAAACTTGCAGGAACAGGAAAGGAAATGGGGGTGGTGAGGTGCTCTGCACCAGGACAAAGAGCTCCACTGGGGCCAAAGGGAGGGAGGGGAATGAGTCAGCACGGAGCCAGTGACCCGACCGATCCTCTCCCCGGGCTGCAGCCGTGTCTTGCGCAGCTTGCTCGAGGTGCTCTGGCGTTCAGGGCTCCGTACACCTCGACGGGGAGCTGCTGGGCCAGGCAGAGAACAGCGGCTGCAGACTGGATGTGCTGCCCGACTCCTCTTGCTCCCAGGCTCTCACTTCCTCCTCCCCAGATGCAACGGTAACTCGGCAACAGAGCTCCCTGCAGACACGCTGACAGCCGTGGAGCACCAGCGGGACTCACCTGTACACCCACCCGTAGACCTGCCTGTGGAGCACCCGTCAGGGTGGGCCAGGGCCTCCCCTCTCACTGCAGGGCTTAAAGAGCATCATAAACTTCTTCCCACAATGAATGTGAGCTAAGTTCACCCCAGGGCCCTCGAGCCCCAGACCAGCAAAGATGCAGAACACACGAGCCAGCCTCCAAACATTTATTCAACTGACATCAGAAGTCTCCGCGCTCCTTCACGCCTCAACACAACTCGGGCTGAGCCTACATGTGGCCGCCAGGACACTGAGGAAGGGGGTTCCGGGGAAGGGGCTGACCCAGAAAGGCTGGCGTGGCAGAGCCTGGCCACTCACAGATGGATCTGCACTGGGGTGCAGGGAGCTTCCCCCCGCCCCAGACACCCGAGTCCTGCAGAAACCACAGCACAGCAGGGACAGGGTGACACCTCCTTCACTCCCTCTGGACAGTCAGCAAGCCGACTGGCTGGGCGAAGTGTCAGGTCTAAGGTGTCCACTGTGGACGACGTCTCTTCCTCGGCAGACGTGCTCCGAGACGTCCTTGCAGCGCCTGCTCTGCCTGGCAGGTCAGTTGGCCCCGGAGCTGGGTGGGTTCACCCCTCCCTCCTGGCAGGGTGGGGGCGGGGCGGAGGCAGGGGCCTGGGGACCAGGCAGGGACGCTTTCAGGACCCCAGTCTTGCCCCTGCTCTCTGTTGTGTGGCTCTCCGCAGGGTCAGTGGGTCCCAACAGGGAAGTGAGGGGAGGGAACTGAGGAGCGGGAGGAGAGGCCCCGGAGGAGCCTGGGAAACAGGAGGGGAGCGAGTGGCAGTGATGGGTGATCACGGGGTCGCCAGGAGGCCCAGGGGCAGCCCCAGACACAGGGGCAGGATGAGGAGCACCACTGGGTACAAAACGGCAGCCTGGTTCACCACTGCGACGATCCACTTAGCATAGAATGCAACGTCTGTGTAAACTCCAGGCACGTCTTGACGACCACAGCCGAAGCCCCAGCTCACGATCCCCATCTGGACCCACGTGTCATTATATTCACAGACCAGGGGGCCCCCAGAATCTCCCTGGAGAAAGAGAAAGAAGCAAACTGCAGGCCTGGGAGGGCACCCGGGGCCGAGCAAACTGGTCGCACTGCGCGGCGGGCCTTCCCCAGGCTCCCGCCAGGCCGGGTCCCACGCACGTGAGAACTAAGAATTGAAAAGTTAATGGGAAAACTTTAATATCCTCCAAGGCTATTATGACTGGTTATTTCCCAAACCGCAGTGGTTGTAAAACACTCTGCCACCTCTGATGAGAGCCCCCAGATCCTTTCATCCGGCCCGGACTTTCTCTAGAGGTCCTAACCCAGAGAGCCCGCTGCCTCCACAGTGTGAGCTCCACTCCCAGGCGCCGGGTACACATGCCCCCCGGCTCCGGCAGAGCTCTTGGCCTTCCCCGAAGCTACCCTGGTGGCGCCCCCACTCACCTGCTCGGCCAGACACACTCAGCCTCCCCTCCCCCCCATCCTCACACGCAGGCAGTCAGGCAGGCACCAAGAATGACTAAACACACCTCTGTCCCTGCCCGCCCCCACTGACCCGGGCCCTGCTCAGGACTCGGCGTCTCTCCCTAGCCTACAGTCCTGCCTGGGCGGCATCTGGAAACTCGGTACGGCATTCCAGGCCACACCCATTCTCGTTCTAACCCCCTTCTCTGGCCACAGCTGCTACCTCACTGCTCCAGACCTGTAAAATGTTCCCTAAACGTGACATGTCCCTTCGGACCTCTGAGCCATTGTCTGTACTCTTCCCTCTCCCTAAAATGCTGTTCCCTTTACCAGAAATCCAAATACTCATCCTCTAAGACCTGGCTCAAACAGCCCCTCCCCAGGAGGGCAGCTTGGTGCACAGGGCAGACTATGGGCCGGGGGGGGGGTGGGGGGGGCTTGCAGGCTCTCGCGGGGTGGGGGGGACCTTGAACTAATGTCCTCGACCCTCATCACACCTGTAGGATAGGGATGAGCCCTACGGCTCCATGTGGTTGCCTGAGCCACCTACTGCAGGTAACGCTCACACCAGCACGGGAAGTGCCGCCTAGGAGGGGCTCAACGAAGGGAAGTCGCATTTTAGCATTCCCTGTCCCCATCCTCCCCACACCCCGGAGGGCCCCCAGGCAGTGGGGCAGCTCAGGGGGGGGGGGACCACCAGGGGGTTCTCCCCCTGCATCTCCTTAAGTAAGGGTGCGAGGAGGAGGGAGTAACTAGCCCAGGCCCCGCCACTCGGGAGCAAGGAAGCTCCGTGGTGACTGCCTGCATGCCGAGGCGGGAAAGGGTCCGGCGCTCACCTGGCAAGAATCCTTCCCCACGTCTTTGTAGCCGCAGATCATCCCCGGCAGCACCACGTCCCTGGTCTTCCACATGGCCTTCTTCACCATCTTGTTACACTTATCATAGTAGATGATGTACTGGTCGACCTTCTGGAGAGTAAATGAAGCCAGTTCGCCACCTACAAGTTAAGACACGCAGCAGTGGGAGGACCTGCGCAGGGGACAGCAAGCCCCCAAGCGCCCAAGACTCCACCCCGAAGAAGGCAGGCACAGTAGGCACTGTCCCCATGTGACACCAGAGGAAACTGAGGCCCCAAGTTGACACGGAGAGAAGAGAAGAAGGTGAGAGCCAAAACCCAGACAGGAGAAGGACAGGTCAGGACAGAAAAAGGCACAGCCTTACTGGTTGAGAAATGACAACCAAGTGCCTGTCACTCTGAGTGTCAGCGGTCAGAGAGACAGGTGTCCTGTGCACTAGGGAAGTGACTTTGCTGGGGAGCGGGATCACAGACTCCGGCGGAAAGTGGCCCAAGGGCACTAAATGCAGCCTCACCGCAGAGACAGGAGGCCCTGCAGCTTCCCCTGGCTCTGCCCAGACCGGCCGCCAGGAGCCCACCAGGACAGGCACTTCCCGGGAGGTTACAGGTCTGACCTGCAGACAGCGCGCCGCACCCCAGCGGAAATCCGCCCTGCACAGAACGCCACAGCCCCTGGCTCTGTCTCCAGGCAACCTAAAAGTGCCCCCAAAGCGGCCAAGCAGCACCATTTCCCCACAAATCTGCAGAAGGGAACTTCCCCCGGGGTATTTTTTCTCCTGAAAGCCACTCGGGTTCCCAGGACGGGTGCTTTTTCCAAGCGGCCCAATTTCTGGGCTCCAGGCGATCGGGAACCACATCCCCCGTGGCCCTCCGTGGCCCTGGCCCTCCCTGCGGCCTCCTGGCCTAGTCCACGGAAAAGGCTGCCTCTCCCCCGCCCCAGCTGGCACGCTGCCGCCCAGTCTCACCGATTTCTTGTTTTCTGCCCCATCCGGTCACCCAGCACCTGGTCCCAGCTGCCACTTTGAAAGTCACGTCAGGGATGCAAATGGGGAAGATGGTGAAGGTGAAATTCACTGGGTAGTTAAGCTGGAGAAGGGCCAGATCATGGTGAATGGTTCCAACCGTGGTGAACCGCGGGTGGACAGTGATGCTTTTGACCGGGACCACCACGCTGGTGATTTCCTGGAAGACACTCCGATCGCCCATCTTGACGCTGTAATCGCGTCGCCTGCGGGAGAGAGGGCAGGCCCCTCGCGGAGACCCTAGGACACACGCCCTTCCCGCCCGCCCGCGCCCCCACCTCCTCCCCTGGCCTCCCCCCGAGTTTCGGAGGTTTCCCAGGGCGGCCGCAGCCCCCCTCCCCTCGCCCCCCACCGCCCTCTCCCCAGGCCCCGCCTAATGACTCTCCAAGCTGGTCGGCTCGCCCAAATCTCCGCTTTGTCCGCAAAACTAGCGCCCCAAAGCACAAGGCCGCCGACGCAGAAGCCCTCCGGTCCCCCCACGTGGGCTTCTTCGGCTTCCGGCTCGGGCTTCACTTCCACTTCCGGTTGCCCCGCGCCGCCTCCCCTGGGCCGCAGACCCGGGTGGGCGGCGGGTGCCTGCGGAGGGCGGGCCCGGCGCCTCCGCCTACGCGCCTCACCTGAAGATGCAGTGGCCGGCCGTCAGCACCCACTGCTCTGTGATGAGGGTGCCCCCGCACACGTGCCTGCCGCTGATCCGCAGGCTCACCTGCCACGGCCACTCGCCTTCCTCCACCTCCTCGCCGCCCACGATCTTCGAGAGCACTTGGCCGCACGCTGCTGCGGCGAAGACAGTGTGGGCAGAAGGACCCCAGTAAACAGGGCCTGTCTCCCCGGGGCGCCCCCTCCCGCTGCACCCACGAAGGCCGCGTCCTCCGAGGCTCCGGGGACGTGCTTCGGAGTCCCCAGGCCGTGTCCCTCTGACCTCCCAAGGCCCAGCCGTGTCCCGCGCGGACTCCGCAGGCAGGACTGCGGTCACTCGGACCCCGAGGGCGGAGCCTGGTCCCCCGCCCCCAAGGAGCCCCGCGTCCCAGCCCCAGCCTCAGCCCTCGCTCGTGACTCCCAACACGAAGAGTCACCTGAGGTGAACTCCACCACCTTCAAGGGTCCCGCGGCCGCTTGGGAGGTGGGGGCCACCGAGGGTTGGGGAACCCCTGTGGGTGGCAGCTTCCCCGGGCTCGCCCCTGGGTCCTGGCGGCTGCCCCCCGAGGGCGAGGGTGTGGGAGAGCGTGAGGGCAGCGCAGTCCCGCCCTGCGCCCCCTCCCCACCCGCGGGGGCCTTCCAGAGCCAGGGCTGAAGGAGCAGAAGCCAGACCAGGAGGCCCAAGGACGCCATGGCACCGCCGATGGCCTCGGCCCTCCAGGAGCGCCCCCTCGTGGCCTGGCGGCAAACGGGGGGCCGCGGGGCCGTCCAAGGGGCAGAAACCACGAGGCCTCGCATCGCAAGATTCCTAGCGCGAGCAGGAAATGTCACACTCTGTTTCCCTGAGATCCGCGCTCCAGAGGGTGTCCAGCCGGAGCCCTGCCCAGTACCGAGGGGCTCGGGTACCTCTGGGAGAAACTGCCCTCCCAGTTTGGGGGGACACTTCCAAGGCGGGTGTCCCCTGACACCCCTGCCCTCTCCAGTGTGGTACCCGGCCTGGCGCTGGTGAGGAGAGGCCATCTGGGAATGAGATGAGGAACACCCAGCTCTCCAGTGTCCCGACTTGCTCCAACATGTGATCTAAGATGTCTGCTTTTCCGTGAAAAATTTGCAAGTCATGCAAAGAAACGGGAAAGCTGGACCAGCGCAGAGCAACAGAAGCTGTCTTTGAGGGGCCCCGTGTGCTGGACAGACTACACAAGCACGTCAAAAACAGCTATTTTAAATATAATATGTTCAAGAAAGTGAAAGGAATTATGCTCATAATCTATATGGCATACATATGTGTGCATCTACACATATATCTCAATTGATGAAAGAAAGCATTTGACAAGATTTAACACCCTTTCATGATAAAAAAAAATCAGTGAACTAGGAATAGAAATTTTCTCAATATCTTAAAGGCCATATATGAAAACCCACAGTGTACGTCATACTCACATGAAAGACTAAAAGCTTTTCCCTAAGAGCGGGAACAAAATAAAGATGCCTGTTTTCACCGCTTCTATGCAACATCTTACTGAAAGTTCTAGCCAGAGCAATTCGGCAGGAAAAAGAAATAAAGTCACCCAAATTGAAAAGGAAGAAGTCAGATTATCTCTGTTCACAGATAGCATGATCTTATATATAGAAAACCCTAAAGATTATACCAAAAAACCCTATTACAGATAATAACTTTTAAAAAGTTGCAAGATATAAAGACAACATGCAAATATCTGTTGTATTTCTGTACACTAACAGTGAACAATCAAAAAGGAAATTAATAAAAATCTCATTTACAATAGCATCAAAAAGAATAAAATACTTAGGAATAAATTTAACCAAGTTGGTGAAAGACCCATACATTAAAAACTATAAAACATTGCTTAAGTAAATTGAAGTAGACAAATAAATGGGAAAATGCCATATATTCATGGACTAGAAGGCTTTAATCTTGTTAAAATAATATTATCCAAGCAATCTGTAGATTCAATGCAATCCCTATCAAAATCTCACTGACTTCTTCTGCAGAAATCGAAAAGACCATTCTAAAATTCATATGGAATCTCAAGGATCTGAAATAGCCAAAATAGTCTTGAAAAAGAGAATAAAGTTGGAGGACTCATACTTTCTGATTCCAGAACTTACTACAAAGCCACAGTAATCAAAACATTGTGGTACTGGCATTATGACAGACATATAGACCAATGGAATAGAATAGAGAAACCAGGAAAAATCCTCATATATATGGTCAAATGATTTTAAACAAGAGTATCAAGAACATTCAATGAGGGCAGAACAGTATTTGCAACAAAGTGTGCCAGGAAGACTGGATATCCACATGCAAAAGAATAAAGTTGTACCCTTACCTTATACAATATACGAAAATTAACTCAAAATGGATCAAATACCTCAATGTAAAACATAAAACTATAAAACTCTTAGAAGAAAACAAAGCAGAATATAGGATTTGGCAGTGATTTCTTGGATATCACCCCAAAGTACAGACAAAAGAGAAAAAAATAGATAATCTGGACTTCACCAAAATTAATAACTCTTGTACTATAAAGGACATTATCCATAGAGTGAAAGAAAACCCACAGAATGGGAAACAATATTTGCAAATCTTACATCGAATGAAGGATTCATACCCGTAATATGTAAAGAACTCCCACAACTCAACAATAACAAAAAAATTTTAATGGACAAAGAAATTGAATAGACACCAAAGAAGATTCACTAATGGCCAATAAACACATGAAAAGATGACCAACATTTCTAATCATTAGGGAATACAAATCAAAATCACAATAAGATACCACTGCACACCAATTATGTTAGCCAAAAAACAAACAAAAACTCAACACTATAGAAAATAACAAATATTGGTGAAAAGGAGAAAAATTGGAACCCTGTGCATTGCTGGTGAGAATTTAAAATGGTACAACCACTGTGGAAAGCAGTGTGGCAATTCCTCAAGAAGTTAAACATAGAATTGCCGTATGATCCAGAAATTCCACTCCTTAGGTATGTACCCAAAAGAATTGAAAGCAGGGATTCAAACATATTTGTACACCCATGTCCGTATCCTCAAAACCTGCAAATATGTTACCTTACTTGGTAAAAGGGACTTTGCAGATGTAACTAACCTTAAGGACTTTGAATGGAGATATAATCCTGAACTATCTGGGTGAGGCCAGTATAATCACACGAATCCTTACAAGTGGAGAACTTTCCTCGACTGCAGTCAGAGAGATGCAACCGTGCTAACTTTGAAGGTGGGGAAAGAGGGGCCACAAGCCAAGGAATGAAGGTAACATCCAAAAGCTAGAAAATACAAGAAAACAGATTCCTCTCTAGGCCTTCAGAAGGAATGGGTGCTGCTGATACCGTGATTTTAGCCATCCATCTTCCTTCAGACTTCTGGAAAGCATACCATTAAGTGGACCATGCAAAATAAAAACCGATGTACATAGTATCATCCCATTTGGATAGCGGCAGATAGTTCCTGCTACGTTCATAGCTGTGTATCTACAAGTGGGAGCCAAATAAATGACAGCTGTCTTAAGGTGGTTGCTGCTCCAACAAAGATTCCCCTTCCCGGTAATTACCCATCATCACTGGGTACCCACAGGTCTCTGAGAGGTGAAATCACCCCATTGCCCAAACATAGAGCTCTTCACCATTATGCCATCTAAGGTCGTAACTGTTGGGTCCCGAATGGCAGGCGACCTGATGCCCGCCAGTAAGTTTCAGGAAAAGTTTTTGGGAACCTCAGACAAGGCCTCCTCATTCTTCTCAAGAATCTTCCACCAGCAACCCTGCTCCCATCCCCTGACAGTGAATGAAAACAGGTGGGCTCACTGGGCTGGTGCAGAGTGCCCTGCGAGGCCACGGGCATCAGCCTCTGAAAGCACTTGTCCTGAGGATGGCAGAGCACAGAGGAGAGACATAGAGACCGTGGGTGCACGCACTGAAGCCACCCGACCTGTGCATTCTCAAGGGACAGCCATCTGCTCGTCTTCTTCATGTTCAGAGCTGCTCAACGTCAGTGTTCTCTTCCTAGAGCACCATCTAACCAGCGCAGGCGTTCATTCGACTTCCCCTTTTGGGGTCTGTGTCTGCCCCTCCTGCTCTGCACATGCGCATCCAGGCCCAGTAGAGGATCAAGCCTTCTGCCCCTGCCCCATGGAGGTCAGCAAAAATTACACAGCAGAGACACTTCTCACTGAGACTCGTGAAAACTTAAACTCTCATCTTTATGAGGGGTTGGAAGGAAAGGGGAAAGAGAGAAGGGAGGGAAGGAGGGAGGGAGGGAGGGAAGGAAGAAACTGAGTTATATATGGGCAGGAAGATCTGCAATGCATCATTTGTGAAAGATGTAACTGCCTTTTAAAACAAATCCAAATGAACCAATTGAAAAATGAATAACACAATAAGAGAAAAAAAACTAAGAAGGCTGGGGAAAGGTCAATGCATAAAATCAATAGCTTTCTATTCCTTAGCCATAACAAATTTGAACATATAATAGGGAAAAAAGATATTCTATGAATGATAGCCACTCACATTTATACAAACACCTAGGAATTGGCACGGGACGTCATACCATGTGCCCAGGTTCCTGTGGCCCTTTCTCATTACTGTCCTCCTGACTCCCAGGGCCCCAGCCACATGAGCCTTCTGGATGTGCCTCACTGGCTGTCCCTCTGCCCCCAAATACCCACACGGCTCATTGCCTCCCCTCCTGGGTCTACACCAGGGTCAGCAGGCTTTTCCCGTAAAGGCCAGAGAGTAAATATCTCAGGTGGGCTGAGAGACAAAATCAGGACTATTATGCAGGTACTTATTATATATAATAAGAGAGAAAACAAATTTCCACAATTCTGTTTATTGATGAAATGTGAAATAAATTTTTAAAAAATAAGAACTGAGTACTGTTTTTTGTTTTTGTTTTGTTTTGGGGGGTTTGTTTATTTGTTTTTTTTTTGGGGGGGGGGTTGGTAACACAGGTCAACTAAGGACAAGAATGGAATTCTGTCCGGGGGATAACATCAAAGTTAATGTTCCCAACCACGGAATTGATTGCAAATGTCCTTCTCTAAAAATCATTCTCAGCGAAGAGATGGGGGGCCAGCTAAACTCCAATGTCACCTCCTCACTGAGGCTCTCCAGGACACGCTCTCAAAACTGTCCCACCACACAGCTCCGCCCTCTCAGTCCCGCCCACCCCGTGTACCGCACTCCGCAGCATTCCTCACGATCTGGCAGACTGTATCTTCTCCTCCTGTGTACATGCGCGGTCTTCCCCTTCCGTATGTAAACTTCATGCAGGCAGGGGTTTTGTCTGTCCTGTCTCTGCCGTATTCCCAGCATCTGGAACATGGCTGGCACATAGTAGGCTCTCAATAAATATCTGTTGAATGAGTGGATGGATGAATGGACTGAATGAATAGAACTGTAATGAGGAGAGAATGCGTTAATACCTGTAAGTCCTTGGAGCATTGCCTGGCACTGGCCGTGCTCGATCAGTGCTCATCACTGTTATTGTTACTTTCAGAAGGGGCCCCCAGCAGCCGGAAAGTGCAGGCTCCAGAGCTAACAGACAAAATCTTCCAGCCACTGGAGGTGTCCACCATCTGCCCACCTGCCCATCTCCTACCTCCCGAACCCTGCCCCAGGGCCCAGGGCCTGATCACTGCCTGGCCCTTCGGCTC